TTTGGTATAATCGGCATGATTTTATCCCACTTCTGACCCCAATTGTTACGAGCTTAAGGTTCGTGACAATAGAAACTGCCAATTGAATTACCAAAATTGACACTTTAATTACTGAATACCAATTAAAGCTTAAATCACATTAAAATTAATCACACTTAACACTTAGTTACTTTATTTCGCTCCGAAAGCTTCGCTCGTATCGCCAATTCAATACTGCCACTGTCGCGCCCTAAACGGCTTTATATAGGCCTTTTCCACCGGAGCATCTGGAATGTTCCAGCAAATACCGGTCCCGACTGACTTGATGAAGAAAATTCGAGTGTAGACTTTTCTAGAAAGCTTAATTCTTCTATTCGATACTAGATGGCGTAGTGAGTAGAAAGTTTAGGCATGGAATTATCTAGAAAGCTCTGCTCACTCGACACAAGTTGGCGCTAGGGGCATCAATTATGAATTAAAAAAATATTAAAAAGTTGATGGATTGGCACAGCAAATGAATGAAACTGTCGAAAGTATTAGGGAAACAGAAATTATTACTAAAATTCTCAGCACAATACCATCTAAGTATTGCTTGCAGGCGTGGATGTCATTAAATCTAAAGCAACAAACCATACACAACTTCACTGCTAGATTGCTTGATGAGGATGATTTCCTCATCAAGCAATCTATTTATCATCTGAAGAGCGAAATGAGATAGCTCTTGTAACACAAAAGGAAATACCAGTCAAAAATACTACAGAAGGCCATAGCTTTATTCGTTACAACTGTGACAAACGTGGACACTTTGCTCGACAATGTAAGACACAAAATAAAACCTATTTCATTGAAAACCATAGTAACATGTTCAATTCGGATTCGAAATTATGACACATCTTCTCGGCAGGCTTACCTCAAAACTTGAAAACCAGATTGTACAACCAGTACATCTTGCCACCCCCACCCACCACCCACTAAATGGAGTGATGACCTGGTATACATTCATATACTGCATTTCATGCAGAATGTGTAAGTATTGTAAATAGCTCAATTGATGACATCTGGCTATTAGACAGTGGGGCATTTCAGCTCATTTGACATTTAGGAAAGAATGTTTTAATGATCTACAACAATTCAATGATGGTACCTATAGATGTGTAAAATTAAGTAATCAACCTGATCTTAAAGTTTGTGGAATTGGAACGGTAGTAATTAAGAAATGCATAAAGGGACAGTGGGAGGATAATATATTAGAAGAAGTTCTTTTTGTGCCAGAATTAAGAAAAAAACTTATTCTCAGAAGGGGCCAACAATAATTTTTTTACTTACAAGAACAGAAGTTTAGTTTCGAGTGCAACTCAAATTTAAAACAACTTATTTGAAATTAACTTTAAAATTGTATTATGTGTTTATTGTAATACTCTACAAAATTCAGAAAACATGACAAAACTGTGGCATGAGAGACTTGGTCGATTAAATATGAATGAAATAAAAAATAAGATTAAAAGTGGATTATTACAATGTACTGATGATCAATTTGTCTGTGAAGCATATATTTATGGAAAGCAAAGCCGTTTTTCATTTCAATCATCACACCGAGCCCAATTAATTATTTAGGGGGATTTGGTATACGGTGATGTTTGTGGCCCAATAAGTGAGTTTTCAATACAAGGTATGAAATTTTTTATTCTATTTAAAGATGCAGCCTCAAGTTTTCTGAATTTTTATCTTATAAGACACAAAAGTGAAGCATTAGACCATTTTAAGTCATATAATGCCTTAAAAATGAATAAGCTTGGCCATAATGTCTAATCTAATTTATCATCAGAACAGCAAACTTGCCATTATCAAAATGATATCTTTATATTCTGATAATGGCAAGAAGTATGTCAATAATAATTTTAAAGAGTACATGTCTCGTAATGGAATAATTCATGAATGCACATTTCCTTACACCACGCACTATTATGGAAAGTGCACGGACAATGATTCATGGAAAGAATTAACCTCTAAATTTGTGGGCTGAGGCTGTAAACTGTGCAGTGTATATAATTAATCGAACTACTCCAGTCAAACTCCAAATAAATCACCATTTGAAAGGAGACAATCAATTTTTCTATGGATAATCGGACCACTACAAATTTTAAAGATTCTCAATGAAATGCATGTCGATTTATTCCTTATTATCCACAGACTACAATAATTTAGTTTTACTGCACCTAAACGGAGTCCTGAGAAATTAGCAAATAAAATGTGAATCTAACAATAACCTAAAAACAAACTGGAAGTGATTTTCTAGTAGTATTCATCGGTATTATAAGTTAAAAGAGTGCACACTTGAATAATAGTATATATAAAACTAAGCTGTAGGTATATTCAGAATTTATAAATATTTTAAAATCGATGTAAAACCTTTCACTAGTTCCGGCAAAACATAGTGCCTGTCTGTGCAGAAATGTCGCACGGATTCTATTTTTGACATGTATTGATTGATTGTGAGTGTAAATTCTAAATACCAAGATGGCTAAGGGATATTTATATTTATGATATTACCAACACACAGTATGAAATATGTTTTAAACTTGTTGTATTACAAAACACAAAATATTATGTAGGTAACTCTATTTATTATTGAAAATCATAATTTATTTAAGTATTCTACTAACAGTAGTAGGTACAGAAACAGAAATCTTTTATTCAATTTAGATTATAAATAATTCTTATTGAAAGTCACTTTTTTTAATTTACCACTGGTTCGGAAAAAACCTCTGACTTTAAGAAAACCAGCAAAATACCCAGTGGGTCTTGTACAAAAGCCAGCTTAAAATTATCTATGACATACATAATTAACAACACAGAACAAATTAGAAATAGCTTGGTAGCGATCACCTTACCCACGGGTTATTGTCATCCATACATTACTTTATACTATAATAACCCCTTTTATACAAACTTAGTTTATTATTTTTTAACTTTGATGATTGACTGACATATATAGACAGGAGCAGTGTCAAGACTTTGTTTTAATATGTTTTGGTTGATTAGTAAGAAGTATACATCACAATAAAATGACTAGGAATTAACATGCTTATCTATGTTATTATACAGTGATAAATAGTGAAGAAGTAAGATGTTTTAAACTATTTGTTTACAGGATTACGAAAACACAGGCTTAATTTAGATATATTTATTACTAGCGATGCGCCTCAGCTGCAGCACTGGTGATTTATGGATCTTGATAACAGTGCCATCTACCGGGTCCAAATGTAAATATAAGCCATCTAAAGATCCATCCAAATACACAAAAATATTTTCATTGAAATTGGTTCGATGGTTTCTTACGTTTTGTCTATAACGGACATAGGTAGAAACATTTTAGTGTTAGATATATTTCTGAAGGTTTTTTGAAAATAACTTGATGGTAACATGTACATTTATGATATTGTAAGCAATCAAAAGGGCATTTTAAATTATAAGAGATATGATATAAGACTGTTGTCTTCAATATACATACACATTTTGTCTCTGCAAGCTTTCAACCTGTAAGGCATACAGATTTCTAAGCGATCCACCTGAAAATAAGTTAATGAAAATTGTAAAGGTGTCTTAACTAAATAATAATTCTTATCAATATAATATTTTTTCTATATTATATAGGAATTAAAATGACATTTTTAATAATAAGAGATATGAGATAAGACTATGCCTTCAATGTCAAATATCTGCCTGTTCATATGTTACGTAATAAAGAAATTATTATAAATTATACAGCATTAATCAGCTCCAGCTGATCAAATCCAGAAGCAGTAGTTATTGATTAACATCAATGATATTCAACTATGTAAAATTTGTCTCACATTTTATTTTCACTGGTTTCACGTATATAGGAGACAAAGATACTATTGTTATATTAAGTATATCTGATTCTAGATTACAAAATAATATTCCTTTCTGCAGAGTGAACAACACATCTGTCTAAGCCTAATAGATACAACCATTACACTTTTTTACGCAAACTATTATTACTAAACTTTATATTTGCTTCTAGTACAAATAATTACTGCATTTTTTACACATGAATATATGTACTTACTATTTATATTGCCTATCTACTATGGCTGGTATAAATATAGGATCCGTGTCTGGATTAATAAAAAAGCCATTTAGTAGTAATCAATTTGCTGAATACATAAGGTACCTATTTGTACACAAATGCAGTTATATGAATTGTTATTTAAAACCCTTTTTAAGTCCCTCGACCTAAAGGTTCTAATTTTCTTTTAACATTATAATAACTTATTTTGTGCATTTATTCTATTTATTATTTAATTTAGATTTTACTGATAACATAAACTTTATACTTTGTCACTTTTAACAAACTAATAGGGTTCTAAGACCTGTTTGTTATTTGTATTTAATTTAGGTAAAATCTACAAACTTAATAATAGATTTTCACAACCTAGAATAGGTGTAAATTAATAAACTATTATATTTATTAACCTAAACTCGTCAGTTTTATTTGCGAATTTTACCACAAAAAATAAAAAGAGAATAACATACGTACTGTGTCAATTAATATTTGGCTAACATTCCAGTACTGCTTTTAAATAAATACTTCATTTTGTTCTTAGTTCTTATCATAATGATGCGACTCCAACCATGTTTTATTTCAAGTATTGTGTTATATAATATAAGTGAATTTGTCCAACTCGATAATCGACAGAAAATAAAATTTACCGAGTTAACTTGGCGCATCGTATAGATTCAGAGGGTGCTATATAGATATTACTTCACTAATTTACTTGCATATATTATAATAAGTCGCTGCGGGTGAAATCACAAGTTGCATCCAAATCCAAACTTGCATCTGGCATGTTGTAAACAAACCGGAACTTAGTTTGATTTATAATTTTAATTTCATGTTGCCAAATATGACTTATTTATAAAGGTTCAAAGCTGACCTTGATAAGTCCTTAAAAATAATAGACTCATACAAAAGAATAAACACATTTGATAGGAAAAGTATGACGCCTACACCAAGACGCAAAAGAAAATATTCACAAAACAAGATCTTTGAAAGTCCAGCACAAATAACAAACCCAGGAACAGATGGTCAAAATATAAATAATTCCCCAATTTCCAAAACAAATCGACCTTTAGATGAATTAGAACAAAATGCAATAAATAATGACAACTTTAATATTATGACAATACCGTCTGAAAAACCCATGAACTTGCCTGCCTGTTGTACTACATTTTCAAATAAAAATTTGCAAAAGGATATTCAACAAAAAACAGAAATAAACTGTGATACTCCTCTTCTGTATGCAAGTAAAGAGCAAGTAAATTCCCATGAAAAGGGTAATAAAGTAGGAAAACGAAAAATTGTTATTGTAGCGGACGAACAAGGTTATAAAATAAGAGAAACACTGCAGAATTTGGTGGTTATGAGTTTATAGTAACTTGTTACCTGAAGTATGGAGCCCCTTTAAAAGAGGTGTTAGCGCCTGCAGAATCTGAGTTAAGCAAATTGAACAGCAATAACTTTGTAATAATTCTTGGAAGAATTAATGATAAAAATCCTCAGGAACTATTGTTTTTCCTTAGACAATTTTTAAACAATGCGAGCAAACCCAATATTTTAGTATCAGAAATACCACGTAGCAAATATCTTAATGAAAGAAAATCAAATTATATAATTAAATTTATATGCTCTGAATTTAAGTATGTTAATTTTATTGATATGAATTATTCTGTCATGATAGCTAGGCGCAAATATTTTCCTCTATATATAAGCCAGTTACTTCTACAAGAAATATTACGTGTGGATTATAAATTCAAATATGAGATATACTGTAAAAGCTTAAATGACATACCGGAACATAAGCAGACCTTTACTAAAAATAGTACCCAAACTGACATGTTTGTCGACTTTGTAAAATGTAATAACTTTTCTGACAGTAGCACCCAAACTGACATGGTAATTGAAACACCTTCTCAAATTAATTCTACCAACTTTTTTCTTGTATAACCAAATAAGTATACTTCATCAAAATATGAATGGACACATAAACGAGTGTGACTTATTAACTACATCTTTAGAATCTATAGAAAGTGTAAAAGATGTTAAAGTTTTATGCATTACCGAACACAATATGTCTAGTATTGATTTATATATCTTAAACATTCCAAATTATTCATTGGGTTCAGTGTTTAGTCGTAGAAATCGTCGCGGTGGATCTTGTATTCTGGTACATAACTCACAAAAGTTTATACCAATCAGTAACATAAAAAAATATTCAATTGAAGGTGTAATCGAATATTCAGGAATACAACATATACACAATTACCTGAACATAAACTATATCAGTCTGGCTCGGTGCCTCGTCGCGTGCGCACGAAGCCCGCTCGCAGCAGCGGTTGCGCGTAGTGTAGTATACGTTTCCAACGATGACTTCAACAACTGTTAAGTGTGCAAATTGCAACGTAGTTATCTCTGAAGTACTGGCCTTTATTCAAAATAAAATACAGGTCATGGATGAAGAAAGTATACGACGTATATGTAGCAGTTCTTTTTCGGTTGAAGAAGTGGCAGAGGCGAAAAAGCTGCTGTTTGAGTCCATCTCGACTTCAGCACGAAGAGTTATCAGGAAAGGCGAAGGCAAATTAGTAAGGGACTTGGAGGACATCATATGTCTTTTTAAGGAAACATACCCAGACATTACCCCTATATTTGTGGCAAGAAATTTAAATAAACTACCTCCCGTTACTTTTGATTATGAGGATGCTTCAAAAATTTTAAGATATATGAATGTACTACAACGTGATTTGAAGTTATTAGAAGATACGTATGTGCCTAAACATGAGTTTACTCAACTCAAAATTGAGTTGGATAATCTGAAAAGTACATCGGCAGTAAATAACTTCAATATTAGCCGACGACAGAGAGGCACTTGTTTGCTGAATGACTCTGATATCGATAGTGGCCCTATGGGTCTACATTTTACCGAACATGGAGAATCCCCTGATAAGGAGAAGAAAACATCTTCGAATAGCTCGAAAGTGGTGGTAGACCTGCAAAAGACTGAGAATCGATTATCGGAAACCGTCACGGTAGCTTGTGAAAGCAATTAGTCACCCTCGTAGCCGTTGACGCCCGTACTAACGGTATCGGGGCGCTCGGGTGATGTAGGCGATAAGCTGAGTGCGACAGCTACGAAACATAATCCGATGCAACAAACGTCTATTGCTGAGGAAAATGTAAAAACGGGAAATGAATGGATTACGGTGTCAAATAAAAAGAAAAAGAAGTCAAATCGATATGGCAATAAAATGGGATTGGCAAGTCAAGTGTCGAATTTCAAATCGGCGGATATAAAAGTGCCTATATTCATTTCAAATGTGCACAAAGATACTAAGGCAGAGTCCATAAGTGAGTATGTATACAAACAGACGAATTAGAAAATATCTCTTATTAAAATATCTCAGCGCAAAGAAAGGGGTTATAATGCGTTTAAAATGTTCGTCCCAAGGCATAAACTATACATGTTCCTCAACGAGCAACTGTGGCCTGAAGGAATAATATTCCGACGATTTGTTGATTTCAATTCTCACGGAAATCAACGTACCGAGGCTAATAAACCAAGATCATAATGGACAGAAATGATAAAGCCATATCTTGTAACCGTTTTGTTACATATAATTGTAAATCTGTAAAAAGAGCGGTCGAGGGGGTCCGTCAGCTATGTAAAACAGCTGACATAATAGCTCTTCAAGAGACGTGGCTGCTGCCGCATGACCTGTCGCGTATCTTGAGAATATTGATGCTGATTTTGGAAGCACCGGGACGTCTGCTGTGGACACGACGACTGGAGTATTGGAGGGGCGACCCTATGGGGGGGGGTTGCGCTGCTGTGGAGAAAAAGAGTGTTCCTCTGTGTATCCGTAACACCGTGTTCAAGTGCTCGTATTTGTGCCATTAAAGTTGATCTCGGTAATCAAAAGCTAATAGTGTGCAGTGTGTATATGCCCGTTGATTGCACTGAAAACTTAAGAGATTTTACAGACTGCTTAAGCTATTTAAATGCTATAGTAGAAGAAAGTGAATGTGAGACAGTGTTCCTATTGGGGGACTATAATACTCACCCAGGGCGGCCGTTTTATGAAGAACTGAAAAACTTTTGCACGGAACAGGACTGGTTTTGTGCCGACGTGAGTACCCTAGACTGTAATTCATTTACATACGTCAGTGACGCGCATGGAACTGGGAGGTGGTTAGATCACTGTATAGTCACTGAGTCAGCGTATAAGTTAATAAATAACACGAAGAATTTATATGATGTGTACTGGTCTGACCACTTCCCACTCTTGATTGAATGTAGGTTGAACTATGTTATACCTAAGGTTGTTCCGAAAATAATCGCGTGCAATAAAATAAAATAACTGCAGAAATGATGAAGAAATAACTCATTATACGGAATTATGTAACAACAACCTTAAGTCAATACATTTTCCATCAGAATTTATAAAATGTAGCTATGGTTTTTGTGCCGATATGAGTCATAGGAGTGTCATAGACAATTTATATAAAAACATAGTGTCTGTTTTATCATGTGCTGCAATCAAATCTCACCAAGGATATATGTGTAAAAAGAAAAACGTGTGCTAATAATGTGGAATAAGTATGTCGGTGAGGCACACAGGGAGGCTAGGTCCAAATTTATGATGTGGGTATGGTATGGTCGACCGAGGCAGGGTTTTGTCTATGATGAGATGGTTAACAGCCGCCGTGTTTTCAAGAGTAGATTGAAGTGGTGCCATAACCACCAAAATCAACTAAAAATGGATATATTGGCTACTTATCATTCAAAACAAGATTTTAAGAAGTTTTGGAAATCCACGAATAAGCTCAACGATGGACCTAGTCTTCCTGAAGCAGTAAATGGGGTTAGTGACATGAAGCAAATTGCAGATCTCTTCAGGGATCATTTTATGGTCACGTCACCCTTAGGGCCGTCGTCACACCCCGTGTCCAATGCTGAAACCAAGCGTGAACTCAAAATGGTAGCAAGTGACAAAATGATAGCACGAGTTATTAGAACTATGGTTGCAGGTAAGTCACCCGGTCACGATGGTCTCAGTATTGAGCACTTTAAATATGCATTTGTGCACTTACCTAGAGTTTTGGCACTATTATTTAATGTTTGTGTCTCGCATACCTACTTGCCTACCGACTTAATGAGGACTTCAGTTGTCCCCATTGTAAAACAACCGTACTGGTGACGTATCAGAGAGATCGAACTATAGACCAATATCCTTGGCAACGACAATAGCCAAGATATTTGACAGTATGCTTAACTCTATTCTAGAAAATCACTGTATGCTACATTATGGCCAGCACGGCTTCTCGCGTGGTCTATCAACAGAAACGGAAATAATGAATTTAAAGCATACTGTCAAATACTACACGGACAGGCGCACCCCAGTGTATGCCTGTTTCCCAGATCTGAGTAAAGCTTTCGATCTTGTCTCGTACGATATCTTATGGCGTAAGTTAGAAGGCGTAGGTTTACCTTGTGGCTACACCAATTTGCTCAAGTATTGGTATAGTAACCAAGTGAACTATGTGAGATGGGTGAATGAGTATTCTGAGCCGTACAGGATGGAGTGCGGGGTTAGGCAAGGGGGGCTGACATCACCGAGGCTTTTCAACCTGTATATGGACGCACTGATTCGAGAGCTCAGCAGCATGCGTGTCGGCTGCCATATCGGCAAGGTGTGTGTGAACAATATCAGCTACGCGGACGATATGGTTCTGCTGGCACCCTCAATTAGTGCGATGAGAGCTCTACTCGGTGTTTGTGAAAAATTCGCTGTCTCACATGGTTTACTATACAATACCGAAAAGTCGCATTTCATGGTAATTAAGGCTGGCAGTAAATGTCCTAGTGTGGTACCACCTATAAAGCTTTATAATGAACCGCTAGAAAGGGTCTATAGTTTTAAATATCTTGGACATATTGTGACTGACAGCCTTAAAGACGATGAAGACATTGAAAGAGAACGTAGGGCACTGTCGGTCAGGATATGTTGGTGCATAGATTTGGTCGCTGCACTGACGCTGTCAAGATTACGCTTTTCAAAACATATTGTGCGTCATTTTATTCTTGCAGTCTATGGACCAACTACATCAAACAGACTTATAGTGCCCTACGTACTCAATACAACAAGGCATTCAGGGCACTTTTGCGGCTCCCGCGCTACTGTAGCGCGTCTGCGATGTTTGCACTGGCGGGTGTGGATAGTGTTGATGCAATAATACGAAAAAAAAACCGCATCTTTGCTAAACAGAGTGCGCGGCAGCGGCCACAATGTACTGAGTGAGATTGCTAACAGTGGGGACTGTCCACTGTTAAAAAAAAATGATCTCCAGGACCATGTCCTGCTTAATAATTAAATA